TTTCCCATTCAAAAGCCTGGAAAAGTTTCACATCCCTTTCACAATAGCATCCTGATTGCCTTTAACACAAGTGACCCCAGCAGTCCAAGCCAATGACATCTAGGAATTCCTGGAGAAGGAGACTGAGGATGCTCACCCCATCCTTCCTGATGTCTAGTCTATGCTATGGAGGGTTCCTCAACCCAAAGCGGTCAAAAAGCATGGGAATGTGCAATCTTTGCTTTGGCATAGATTGCACTTACCTGTTCTGTCCAAGCCTTGTTCATTTGGGGGGGGGGTAATGTGGCACCCAGAATATACAAGCACTTGGTCATTCAACAGGTATCATGAATGCAGCAGAGGCCATGGGGCTGCTCCTATTTGATTTTTGTTTCTCTGTACCCAGCAGCCTACCTGCCGGGCTACCCTGCTCAAGGCAGGTATCATCAGCCTCAGAAATAAGTACATGCCTACAGCACCAAGGGAAAGGAGCAAGACATAGCTTTTCATACCCTTAACTATGATGCTGACTCTCATTGCCATTTTTTTTTTGGGTAATTGTCCCTGTGTGCCCTGTTCAATTTAAATCTGCACTGTTAGAAAGTTTGATTTAAAGGTGGCATGAAATAGTCTTTGTTCCCATCTCATGGCATGAGAGTTTCCACAGCTATGGAGCGGAACTATTGCTGGGCTTAGCTCAGGCTATTATCAAGTCAGGAAAAGGCCTCCTGGAGCCTTCCTGATGTTTCTGACCTACCCCCAACAGGCCCAATAGCAAAGGATTATGAAAACTACAGTTCACAATACATGGAAAGCATTAGGCTGTCTATCTCTAGCATTGTGTCAGGGTAGCCTGTCTTGTCAACAGCATCGTTCTTCACCCCTTTCCCCCTGATTTCCCGTCAGCTTCAATGGAAGCTTTTTTAAAGCAAGGCTGCTTCCTCAACGGAGAGCCGGCATTCATCACAGAATCTTTTTGTTTCCTCGTGTTATTTTTCCACGTTGAACAAGCGTTGCACCTCCCTAGCAGAATTCAAAAATTTATATTAATTTATTTTTAAAAATATATCCTACTAATTTATATTTTTTATATTTATTTACATTAAATCCAATTTTTATTAACATTTCTATATCTAGATTGGTCCTTCATTACCCATCCTATGCTCCCAATTAACACAACCAATGTTAAGCTGAGCTTTTGAAAAAGTACTCTTCCCGACCTGATGTAGAGATGTCGAGCGTAATTTGGGCATTTGAGTAGGTCAAAATAAGGATGATGCTAAGTTTCTCCCTTTCTTGATACATCAGTCTCCCTCTTTTTGTTTTTAAAGCAGTCAAATAAAAGCAAAAGGGTGATTCTTTCGCACAACTTCAAGGCAAGTTTGTAAGCGTGTTTATGGAATTTTTAATTGGTATTCACATTTGGAGATCAGAATAGAATTCTTTATTGGCCAAGTGTGATTGGACCAGTGGTGGGTTTCAAAAATTGTTCGAACCTACTCTGTGGTTGTGGCCACCTTTGTGGGAGTGGCTTGCCACCCATGTGACCGGATGGGAGTGGCTTGCCACCCCTGTGACCGGATGGGGG